TCCTGCAGCTGCAGGCCAAGGCCAGGAAGTGAGTGGGCTGCTCCCTCAGCCCTAAACAGTAGCACGGTACCTGAAACACTGGTTTGTTGTATAGCCTGATGCCTTCCTGTGCGGGCTGGGAACGGGGGGGATGGGGAGTCCCGCGCCGGCTCCAGTTGGTGCACTAGAGACTTTATTCCTCTCTGCCTTGGGGATTGGGGAGGAGGGGGAGAGTCCCAGACTGCGCCAGCCCCAACCCAAAATGCTGGTCCATCGCACACTGGCGACTTTGTTCTCCTGCTGCCTTTCTGCACGCGGGGAAGGGGTTAGGTGTCCGGAAATGCACCGGCTCTGGCTGCTCAGGCAGCGCGTGCTGCCGCGGGGACGGGAGGAGTAAGGTGCAAGCTTCTCGAGGGAGGCAGCAGGGAAATGAAGTCCCCAGCACGCCAGCTCCAGCTGCTTGGGCAGTGGGAACGGGGAGTCCCAGACCACGCCAACCCCAACCACTTGGGCAGCGAGAGAATTACAGCAAGAGACAAAACAAATGTTTAGATCTCTTGCTAAAAACAATGAATTTGGACAGTGCCTGATACTTTTGGAACAGGTACAAAGAAGGGCCACTAGGATGATCCGAGGAATGGAAAACCTGTCTTATGAAAGGAGACTCAAGGAGCTTGGCTTGTTTACCTTAACCAAAAGAAGGCTGAGGGGAGATATGATTACTTTCCTTAAACATGTTAGAGGGATAAATGCCAGGGAGGGAGAGGAATTATTTAAGCTCAATACCAATGTGGACCCAAGAACAAATGGATATAAACTGGCTTTCAGGAAGTTTAGACTCAAAATTAGAGGAAGGTTTCTAACCATTAGAATAGTGAAGTTCTGAAACAGCCTTCCAAGAGAAGTAGTGGGGGCAAAAGACCTATCTGGCTTCAAGATAAAGCTAGATGAGTTTATGAAGGGGATGGTTTGATGAGGTAACATGATCCTGGCAATTAATTGACCTTTCACTATCACTGGTAAATAGGCCAATGGTGGGAAGATAGGAGTTGCTATGGAGAACTTTTTTCTGGGTGTCTGGCTTGTGAGTCTTGCCCACATGCTCAGGGTTCGGCTGATCGCCATATTTGGGGTCGGGAAGGAATTTTCCTCCAGGGTAGATTGGCAGAGGCCCTGGAGATTTTTCACCTTCCTCTGTATCATGGGGCACGGGTCACTAGCGGGAGGATTCTCTGCATCTTGGGGTCTTTGAACCATTGTTTCAAGGACTTCAATATCTGACATATAGGTGAGAGGATTATTCTAGCAGTGGGTGGGTGAGATTCTGTGGCCTGCATTGTGCAGGGGGTCAGACTAGATTATCAAAATGGTCCCTTCTGACCTTAAAGTCTATGAATCTATGAAAATCACGTTTCACCCCCAAAAAAACCACAGCTTAGATTCTTCTACTTGTATTATTAGAAAATCCAGGACCTAATCCTGCCAACATTCAAAACACAAGTACTCTAACTCACATACAAAGTCTTGGCAAGACAGGGCTCTAAAGCTTACTATAGTATAATTTCAACACTGGTAAGTGTATTGTGTGGTTTCTAATACAGGCAGTCCCCGGGTTACGTACAAGATAGGGACTGTAGGTTTGTTCTTAAGTTGAATCTGTATGTAAATCGGAACTGGCATCCAGATTCAGCCGCTTCTGAAACTGACCGCCAGTTCTGACTTACATACAGAATCAACTTAAGAACCCCAGGCGTCCCCAAGTCAGCTGCTGCTGAAACTGATCAGCAGCTGATTCCAGGAAGCCCGGGGCAGAGCAACTCTGCCTCAGGCTTCCTGTAGTCAGCGCTGGTCCAGTTTCAGCAGCGGCTATCTTGGGGATGCCTGGGGCAGAGCAGCT